AAAATAGCGCGGACTTTAAGGTTAAACATGGCCCCCACACCCAATAAACAAACGGGATTTAGATCTTCTTTGTTGATCGTCGATCTTGTTGGCCCGATCAAAAAGTGACCGTTGGATTTGATCCGCGTGTCGACGGATGAACTCTTGATAGGTACCAGTCGTGATTTGAGCGTGTCGAGGGTCATTGCGTGACCCGGGAATGCCGAAGCGAAACACCACCGCACAGGAAGAACGGAGAAACCCCTCGTATTGATCTCTAAATTTCTGGAATGCCCTTATACCCCAGAAATTACACAATTACTCTTATATTTTTCGTGGGCGCTAGGTTTTAAAAAAAACATCGGATTTGGAATTACCTGATTCGGATCCAGAATACGGAGGACCAGTCTAATTTCCACCATATATTGGGAATTTGCCATATAGGAACTGGCCTTTTTTTTTTTTTTAATTGTTTATTTTGTCCTCTTTTTTTTCTTTAGTGGCTGATTCACTCGATCGGATTGCCGATTACATTGCTAATCTGGATTGATTTTTCGAATGAACGATCTGGGTCACAAGTCACTTTTTTAAAAACAAATTTTCCACTTTTTATATGTTGGTGCACGAAGCACATGGGCCTTAGCCTTCAGAAAATTCACCACTAAATAGATATATGCAAGCATTAGCTTTAATCTTTTAAAAAAGCGATGCTATACTATATGCAACTAAATTGGATTTCATTATTGGGTTTATACTTTATTGTTTGACCCACTTTTCATTTAAGGATCAAAGTACCTTTCTTCATGCCTATAGAAAGATAAACCAAGACTCTATATAACCAATCCACAAAAAAATGGGAAAATGTATGTTCAACTTAGCGGTGGTTCTATAGGGCTTATATAAAATAATATCAAAGTGGGGAATGGCTAGAGAAGGGTAGAAGGAAATAAGACTTCATTGCACGTTTTGAGATCGTATTAATTCTCAATGAATTAGGATCGTATCTTGAGTCAAATGAGGTTTACTAAAGAGTTCTTCCAACCCAATGCTGCGTAGTTCTTGTGGATCTTTGCATTTTGGGTGGAAAAAGATTAACTAAGTTTCTACATGTGGTTAGAACCCATTGGAAACGAAATAAACTTCAAATTTCATCTATTTTTATCTTGTTTAGTTGTTCTTTTTACCATTGTGTTGAATAATTATTTGATGACTTGGTCGCATAATTGAACAAATGTTACTAAAAAAAAATGGAACAAAACTTTTTTCTTTTGACAAACCTTTCTTATCCTATTATCAAATTAAAAAACTTTTGACCGATTCTGAAATTGCCTGAGTTGGATCAGATATAAAGGGTTCCAACTCCAGCCAAAAATATCGAAAATTGCCTAGTTCTCATGATTTTTTTCTTGTTAGATTATTTCGTTAACAGACGCAATTTGTATAAAAAGCAATTTTATTGGTAGAAGTAAAGTTGTGATGTTATACTTACCCATTTTAATCAGACAAACTAGATTTGGTACATTTTATAATAAGCTTTCAAAAAATGAGGTATCTTTTAAAATAATATTAAATCTACACCATCTAAATAAAATCGATGGTGCAGATTACTGCAATTCTACTTCTACAAGTAAGCTTGCAACTTTACATAAACATTATCCTTTGTTAAACATATCTAGTATTGTAAAACCTAGAATATAGTTCTAGATTACCCACCCACTGTATCCTCCTGATCGGCCAGATCTACAATTTGGATTAACAGAGTTGGTGAAAAATTAGTTACAAAAAACAAAAAAGTAAAATTGGAACGATTGGGACCCATATTACGCACTCAAAATCTAATATGGATAGTTGATTCTCTATCCAAATCACGAGATATCAAAACATCATATATAACTCAGTCCGACTCTAATAAGAGACAAATTGGAATCGGACTGTACCCATTGGGCCCGCATAGTTTGAAGCAGTTGAAACAATGTACTTTTTTTTCTTCCGCCTAAGTTCTGCGGGAGAACATTGTGCATCTACCCCCTCACTTAAAACATCGTACTTAAAAAAAAAATTGTTTAAACTTGAATTACTAGATGATTATTAAAATATATATGTATATATTTTGAGTTTTGTGACACTAGGATTTAGCCCTTAAAAAATTAGCCAAGTCTTTATTCAATCTTGGCATTAGTTTTTCTATTATATAGAGAGTTTATCTTTTTTAAAACTGAGATTGACCTATGCGATATAGAGATGTAATCTCCAAAGTTTGAGCGGTAAAAAGCATCCCTAGCTTTGCCTGAGGAGTAGATGAATACTACACTCCCGCGGGTGTAGGGAAATCCCTCTACTCTTTAGCCATCGTCATTTCGATTAACAGGAACCCATGGGCATTCTTGAGATTTCTCATAACAAAACAAGCATTTCTGTTGAAATTCCGTACGTCCGTACATCCACCGACGCCCCAGATTTCTCCATTGCCCTGAGAAATTTTGCAGGAACTTTTTTTTTGGGTCGATAAAAAAAAAGCTTTCAGATTTTTCTTTTTTCTTTTTTCTTTTTTTTTGTATAGAGAAAAAAAATAGAAAGATTTCTCTTTTTTTTGTCTAGAGAGAAAAAAATAGAAAGAAATCATTCACCTTCTCTCTCATCCTCTTGAAATTTTAGAAAGAGAATATAAAAACCCAGTTTGCTGCAATAACTTTGAGTTAGAGAGAGATTTACAAGGCCGTTGCTGGTTGTTTCTCTCTCTGAAATCTTCTTTTTTTCGGGTGAATAAATTCTCTCTCTGAAACCTTCTATTGTTTTGGGTGAAGAAATCCGTTTTGGGTGAATAAATTCTCTCTAAAACCTTCTGTTTTTTTTTTGGGGAAGAAATCCGTGTTTTAGGAAGAGATGAGTGTTATTTTCTCCCTCTGATTTAGGAAGAGAGGAGTCATTTTCTGGAGAGAATTTTGTTTTAAAGGAGCTTCCGTTTCTCTCTATATGAGAAGATTACGTGACCCATGTTTCAAAATTCGTCAAATTTTTAGAGAGAGAAATAAAATTAAGAACCCATTTTCCAGCACCATTTACAAATATTCTTTAAATTCCACCCGATATAATCTCACTTTTATAATCATCTCATTTCATACATATTTTTTTAATTTCGCCCAATATGTCTTATAAATATTCTTTAAATTCCATCCGATATATCTGATTCTTATAATTATCTATATCTCATTCTTATGATCATCTGTTTACAAATATCTTTTGATTCCCCGAATTTATCTTCTTTCATAAGCATATCTATCCTTTATTTTATGTTTATCCAACGATTTAAAGTTTTAAATTTATACAAATATGGCTAATGCTGCTACTACCGGCAACCATGTTTCGGCTTCGAATTCCAATTCTCCTGTCTCTGGTTTAATGGGTACCATGAATAGGAGAAGACATGCCGATTATGATCTCGAAGTAGTGGAATCGAAAGAACCGAATCATAATCTCGAAGGCGTTGGGGAACTGAAAGAAGAGAGATCGGGCTCTGGCTTCTTTTTTCCTACGAATTTGAGAGTCCAATGGATTAACTTTAGTATGACACTCTTTTTTATTGTTATCATCGTTGTTTTCCAATTTTGGAACTTCCGTGGTCTCTACTTTTTTGATGAAACACTCGATAGAGAGGAGCGTTTGGTAGTTCCTCTGCGGACATCAAATCCATATAATGCTGCTATTCAAGAGGTTGATGCAGGACAATATCAATACAAGGTTTGTATTTCTTCAATTTTGTCTTTTAATTCAAAGTTTTTATGGTTGATGTATTTACTTGTGAATTCTTACTCAGATTGAAATATTATTTTATTTTGTTCTGAATATTAGATGTTTTATTGATGTTGAGTTGGTTTTGTCTTATTTCTTTTTTCTGTTTTTTTCTTTGATTTTTTATTTTTCTTGCATTACGTTCTTATAGAAATTTGTTTGGTTTTCTACTTTTTGACGGTATTTGCGGATGTCTATGGCTTAGAAGCTCTCCTGCGGATGACTATTGCTGGGGACGCTGTCCAGAATTTGGAGAGCTCAAACTTTGAGTGGGTTTTAGAAAGAGATGAGAAAGAGAGAGCACTCTGTTTTAGAGAGAGAAAGAGCTGAAATTTTTTTGAATGGGTTTTAGAGAGAGAACTGAAATTTTGAATGGGCTGGGCTTTAGAGAGAGAAATCTGATTTAGAGAGAGATAGCTGAAACTTGGATTTTAGGGAGAGAAAAAGCTGAAATTCTGAAATTTTGAACGTGTTTTAGAGAGAGAGCTTGGAAGTTCTTTAGAGTAATTCTGAATATGGGTTTTAATTTTGAATGGGTTTTAGAGAGAGAGCTTGGAAGTTCGAATTTGGGTTTTAGAGAGAGAAAGAGCAGAAATTTTTTTGAATGTGTTTTAGAGAGAGGGCTGAAATTTTGAATGGGTTTTAGAGATAGAAAGCTGATTTAGAGAGAGAGAGAGATAGCTGAAACTTTGATTTTAGAGAGAGAGAGAGATAGCTGAAACTTTGATTTTAGAGAGAGAGAAAAAAAAAAGCTGAAATTCTGAAATTTTGAATGGGTTTTAGAGAGAGAGCGTGGAAGTTCTTTAGGGTAATTCTGAGTAAATGGGTTTGAGAGAGAGAGAGCTAACATTCTGAATAAATGGGTGCTAAAATTCTGAATGGAGTTTAGTGAGGGAATCTGAAAATGTTTTAGAGAGAGAGCTTGGAAGTTAGTTTAGAGAGAGAGGTAGCGGAAATTTTGAATGGGTTAGTTTAGAGAGAGAGGTAACTAAAATTTTGATTGTGTTAGTTTTGGGAGAGAGGTAGCTGAAATTTTGAATGGGTTTTAGAGAGAGAAGTTGGAAGTTCTTTACAGTTTAGTCTTAGATACTCGTTTATTTAGAGTTTAGAAAGAGGTAGGTGAAATCTTGAATTGAATGGAATTTAGTGAGGGAATAAATTTTTAATGGGTTTTAGAGAGAGAACTTGGAAGTCATTTAGAGTTTAGAGTTTAGAGAGAGAAAGGTAGGTGAAATTTTGAATGGGTTTTAGAGAGAGCTAACATTCTGAATGGAGTTTAGTGTATTGAGGGAATCAGAAGGTATAGAGGTTAAAGAGGAAAGGGCTCGAAAGCTTTCTTTAGATGTGGATTTGGATCTACGATCATCAAGGGGAGGGTCTCAAATCTTCATTACTCTTCAAATACTTGAATGTTTTTTTCTCCAATTTTTGAAATTCAATATTTGGATTAAATTTTCATGGTTTGTAGGATTGATTGCTGTTTTTATTGTGATTCTTTTTATTATAATTCGGATGATTCCAAATTTGATGATTTTTGTATGAGCATGTATTTTTACTCGTTTGATTCTTTCTGGTTTGCTTGTTTGTTTGTTGCACTCTCTTTAACGTAAAGATATTTGATTTTTTTTTGTTTCTAATATATTTGTCCTCATACTGTTTTTATCATCCTTTGGAGGAGCAGTTCTAAAGGTTTTTACAATTTGTTGTATTAACTCAATCGAATTTTCATGATTACTTTGTTTGCTTTTATATTTGATGAGTTTTTTTCTGATTTTGTACGATTTGATGTTTATGCATATTTGGTGTTAATGCAAATTGTTATTTTTGTTTATACTTTAAAATAATTCACTATTTGCCCAAAAACATTGAATTAATTCACCCCATATAATCCCTAATGCAAATTTTTTATTTCTGTTTAAGGCGTCAAAATGATTCACCATTTACACCCCAAAAAAAAAAATTCACCACATATAATCTCTAGGGTTTTCCCTTTTTCCCGATTTTCACCCCATTCTTTTTTTTTATTTTTGATTTTTCCATATCCGCCCCATATTTTCCATCTTTTCCCCGGTAGTTCCCTCTTCTTTTTTTTTCCCTGTTCATCACATATTTCACTTTTTTTTAAAAAAAAATTGTTGAATTTTGGTTTGATTTTGTACAATTTGGTGTTCTTTTTTCTAGCTTTTTGTTTTGGGTAGTTGATGAATCAAAATTATTTCATGATGTTTATGTGGTTTGTTTATTTCCGGTGAAGACTTTAAATCGGTGTTTAGGAAAATCGTCCTGGCCCAAGGGGAGTAACTGGGCTTAGTTATGCACCCATATTTAGAATGTAGGAAAAAAAGAAGTAATTTTTTTTCTAAAAAATAACAAAAAATATTTACAGTTAATAGAAATAAGAAGAAGTATTTAGAGATAATAGAAATCACTAGAAGGCTAAAAAAGATGAAAAAAAAAACTGTAATCTATGGATTGTTGAAAATTTTGATTTATACTTTTTATATTTCAAAAAAAGAGAAGGCGAAAGATCCGACACATCCTCAAAACTATCTAGATCATCTAAACACTGATTTCTGAGAAATATATTTCTCTATTTTTAAGATTTTTGATATTTTTAATTTATTTAAGGGGGGGTAATTCTCTTTAAAGTAAGTAAACCCATACAATCCCAAGGGTTTTCCTTTTCTTAAATTTGTTTCTCTCTCTCTAGACTTTACACTAATTCACCCCTTCTAATCCCAAGGTTTTCCTTTTATTGAATTTTCATGATTCTCTCTAATATTTATCTATCTCTCTTGCAGCAACTTCCAATATGGAGTAAACCAGATAGCAATGGATTTTCCCAGTGTATTGATTCTCGGAGAAAATCTCACAGTAAGTCAGTCAATCATTATGCACTTTTCTTTTCTTTTTTTTGTCTTTTTGTCAATTTCTCAAGCATTATATACTTTTTCCATACCCATTTATTTCTCCTCTACATAATAATGTATAATAATAATTATAGACAATAAATAATGTCTGTAACATCTCCACATAATTGGATTGTATAATGTACGAGAATAATGATCAATAATAAATATTAAATAATATTTGATATCCTGATCAGGAGTGGATGCAACAAATGGATATATTCTCGCTCGTGCCAACGGGGGATTAAATCAAATGAGAACAGGGGTATCTCTCCATTTCTCTTACTTATCATTGATGCAATTCTTACTTTTTTGCTTCTTCTATTTTTGAATTATTAAATTGACATATAATTCTCAAACTAATTCTCATGAAAAATTGCATTTTTGTTAAATTGCAGATCTGTGATATGGTTGCCATTGCAAAAATCATGAACGCGACTCTTGTGCTTCCTATGCTTGATCACAATTCATTCTGGACTGATCCAAGGTATTTTGGAAACCAATCATTCATGAGACATGTTGTTCTCCTCACTGATCAAATTTTGTTGCTCCCCTCCCCACTAAAGAAATTTTGTTGAGACATACATGTACCGCATACTATGTTGTTCCCCCTGTTCTCTTGTCCTCCCTGTTACCAAATCAAATGTTGTTGAGACATACATACTATCTGTTCTCCCTGTTACCAAATCAAATGTTGTTGAGACATACATACTATCTGTTCCCCCTCTGACCAAATTTTGTTTATCCTTCTTTCGAATTATTTAATTTTGAATTTTCACAGTGAATTTGGTGACATTTTCGATGCCCAACATTTTATCAATTATCTGAAGGATGATGTTCACATAGTGGAGAAGCTGCCACCCGAGCTTGCAGCTGCTAATAAGATCGACAAAGCTCCTGTGTCTTGGTCCAAGGTACTTTAATCAAACCCCTCTTGTGTGGTGGTCCAAGGTAGTCTAATCAAACCCCTCTTTTGTGGTCCAATGTGTAGAGAAAAAAAAAGAAGAAAAACCCCACTATTCCTAAGGTACTTTAATCAAAACCCTTTTGTGCGGTCCAATGTGTAGCCCAAAGTAGTTTAATCAAACCCACCCCTCTTGTCTTGTCCAATGTGTAGAGAAAAAAAACCCTACTACTCATCTAAGTGAATGATAAACATGCATGTTAGTTTTGGTCTTTTGGACTTCTTGTGAACTATTATGGTGAGAGAGGAATACAGCACTTCTTTTGGACTTTTAGTATACTATTAGGTTGAGAAAGGAGTACACCATTTCGATCGGTTATAGAAACAAAATTTAGCATAGCATATTGAATCACCACTAAAGGAAAAACCCCAGTTTTAGTGAATTATCACTTTTTACAGAAGAAATAAGACAGTGATTCAATGGATTATCACTTACGAAAAATCACATCTTTGTTTTTGCAGGCGAGTTACTATCGGAAAGAGATTGTTCCTTTGCTTTTACAACACAAGGTGATCAATTTCACCCACACTGATTCTCGACTAGCGAACAATGGCCTTGCCGATTCAATTCAAAAGCTTCGTTGCAAGGCAAATTATGGGGCTCTGAGATTTACTAAAGAGATTGATGAGTTTGGGAAGAAATTGATCGATAGATTAACAAAGGACGGCAAGCCTTTTATTGCTTTGCACTTGAGGTATATTCGTATGAGAATCTTTTTTATAAAAAATCTGTAGAATCTTGCTTGCTTTGTGTGAAAAATGTCAATTTTCTAAAGCTTTATAATTGTAAATGACCAATAATTGTGAATGATATAAATGACTAATAATTGTGAATGATAGAATCTCAATTTTCTGGAACTTTATAATTGTGTGAATGTGTGAATGACCAATGATAGATGTTTCTTAATTCGATATGAAGGTTTTACAAAGTCTTTCTTGCTTCTGATATGAAATTCTAGATTAATAGATGTTACTGATCCATTATTAGCCTTATGACAGACGATAATGAATGTTACTGATTCATGATTATAAATATTGCTCTAAACATTTATCATGTTTATGCTCATTTATGGATGATAACCAGTGTAAACCGAGTAAACTCTGAACCTTTTATGAATTCTTGCTTGTGTTTTTTCCTTCAGCTACTTATTAAATTCTTCCTTGCATTATCTTCCACTTATTTCGGCTTCCTTCAGCTGCTTATCAAATTCTTCCTTGTTTTTTCTACTTATTACAGCTTCTTATCAAATTCTTCCTTGTTGTATCTTCCACTTATTTCAGCTGCTTATCCCTTGTGTTATCTTCCACTTCTTTCAGCTGCTTATCCTTTGTGTTATGTTCCACTTATTTCTGCAGATACGAGAAGGACATGCTTGCGTTCACAGGATGCAGTCACAACCTTACCTCAGAAGAATCAGAAGATCTCTATGAAATGAGAAAGGCAGTCAAGCATTGGAAAGAGAAAGAGATCGATGGAGAAGATAAACGGATTCAAGGAGGGTGCCCAATGACCCCTAGAGAAACGGCAATCTTTTTGAAAGCCATGGGTTACCCCGAAGATACTATCATCTACATTGTTGCAGGAGAGATATATGGGAGCAATAGCATGAAAATTCTCCGAAGTGAATTCCCGCATGTGTACACTCACTCTACTCTTGCAACTGAAGATGAACTGGCTCTGTTTAAACAGTATCAGAACAGGCTTGCAGCTGTGGACTACATGTTAGCCGTTAAAAGTGACGTATTTGTGTACACTTATGACGGGAACATGGCTAAGGCAGTACAAGGTCATCGAAAGTTTCAAGATTTTCAGAAGACCATAATACCCGACAAGTGAGACTAAAACTCTTTGTGCATTTATGTCGGGAGACTAAAACTCTTTGTTCATCTCTTTGTGTCTATCTCTCTGTTCATGCATGAATGAATACCGTCTCTTAATGTGCAAACATTGTTTGTTTTTTGTAGTGATGTCTTTCTTTCTTTAATATGCAAACATTTTGTTTGTTTGTGTTTTTGTAGTGATGTCTTTTTTTCTTTTTGAAAGGATTATGCTATTATATATTAACTTTTATGTTAATTTTCTAACTTTTATGCTAATTTTCTAATTTTCTTTGTGGTTTCAGGCATAAGTTCGTCCAATTGATTGATAAACTAGACAGGGGTGAGCTTCATTGGGAAAATTTCTCAAATAAGGTGCAGGCTGCACATAAGAACAAGACTGGAGGTCCCTCATTCAGAGAAAGTGGTGACTTCCCTCGACTTGAGGAAAACTTTCATGCAAACCCTTATCCCGGCTGCATCTGCAAATTCAGAACTGAAACGGATTCAGTGAAACAAGGAATTTTGCATAGTGAAAAATCGGCTGCATCTGCAAATTCAGAACTGAAACAGATTCAGTGAAACAAGGAATTTTGCATAGTGAAAAATGAGTTTCAGATAAAATGAGTTTCAGATTAGAATTTCACTGAAATGTATCCAATGAAACAAGAAAATTTTGCAGAATTTAGAAAAATGAGTTTCATGTTAAGACGTCGATATGGTTCCCCAAGGCCTGGTTGAGAAGTTTTGGCTTCTTTTTTTTCTGGGTTTCATAGTCCGGAAGCAAAGGATACTTTTGTTGGTTTCATAGTTGGGAGACAAAGGATAATTTCTTTTGGTTTCTGAGCCGGTTGCATAGTCAGGGACGAAGGATAGACAAATGATAATTTTTCTGGTTTCACAGTTAGGGACAAATGTATAGGATATAGTTGGATGGAATGCCGTATAGCTATACATTTGATTTATAGATCATTAATTCATTTTTTTGATCTTTGATCAGTTTTCAGCTTCTTTATTTCATCGATAGTGCAATTGTGAATTCAAGTCGGTTTTTTATACCTTTGATGCTTATGTATAACTCATTGCTATCCATGCACACTACAATCTATGTATCACTTCAATTGTTAATATCCAATGATTTTCCGCTTTTCTTTTCCTCTTTTATCTCTAAATGCGATTCTTAATTGAAATATTATGTTTTTTAAACTTAGTTTCAAACTTCCTAGAATTCGTGGATTTATGTTTTATTACAATCTATACTTCGATTGTTATAATGGCTAATTAAGCTTCTATTCTTCTTACCGATTTAAGCTACACATTTAAGCTCTTTCATTTGGGGCTTTTCCTTGCCCATGAGCCTCATTCATTCCATCACTCAAACCTTCCTTTTAGTCAAGTCATTCTTTTGTTCAATATAAGTTTTTGGAGAGGAAAATTGTTTGATAAAGCTGCAACTCTATCAAACTAAGTAAAGCCTCATCTCATAACTTTTTGAAAATTACAATTCAAGTGTTGGAAAACATTTACATCGATTATCTCGGCTTCAATGTTATGGTTGTGAAAAAAAATAGGATTTCAAGTTCTAAAAATAGTATATATCTTAATAAATTGTCAATGTCATCAATTTATCCTAAAAATAATTGTTCAAAAAACTGTAAGATCTATACATTTTTTTAGTTGAAAATTTTATTGTCAATATTGGAAATTGATTTTAGAGCCATTATGGAGATTTCCGTTGCTGAACTGGGATTTTGGATGAAGCTTTATTTCATTTTCATAAAGCCTAGGCCTTATAGAAACTTCATCCTTTTGAATAAGTATTTGTTGAATATGTCTTGTTGACACCATAAGGTATATAAAAACTAGAAGGTTAATTCTATTAAAGTTTATCATAATTTGTTTAATGAGGTCCCTCTTATTTGTTCAATGTGTCACTTAAATACATGAAGTTCCCTTTTGAAGCAATAGAAACATAGTTTATTCACTTAACCACAAATCAAGTCATAACCATAATCAGGAACCATTTTGGGTCAAGGTTTATATGAAATCGTAGTTTCAGTCCAGCGATTACAATCCCGAATCCAAACCATCAGATGTTAAAATGGGTACCCTACACGACCAAGCAGTCAATATGGAGACTTTTTAAAACTTTAGATCTCAATATTTTTTCTCGAAAAAGAGTGGATTTGTGAAGTTTTCGGTCTTAAACTATCTCTAAAATGAGTAGGACTTTAGATCTCAATATTTTTAAGTGGATTTGTGAAGTTTTGGGTCTTAAACTATCTCTAAAATGAGTTTCTAAGGTGGGTTTTTCATATGATTTTAGCTGCTTTCATAAACTGAAGTAAGAACCATGAAAGGGGCTAGGGTTCAATACGTTGTAGTTTTCATTTCTACTCACACCACCCCATTAACACTTTAAAAAAAAAACTAACTCCTAAATTATTTGAAAAAACGGGGGCAGCGGTTAGTCGTCTTCCCCACTGAATTATTAAAAAAAAAAAGAAAACCAAAGACAAAAGCCATTTCATTGACCTCCTTTATTTGTTCAATTTTTCCAAAAAACGATATACAAGTCACAAATTCATTCATTTGTTCATTGTCCCACTTACTGGTCATTGTCCCACTTACTGGTCATGAACCAACCCCATTACCATTTCCTTTTCAAAATGTCAATGAAGTAACAAAAGTGCCTTTTTCAAGCGACAAAACATTTGAATAAGGAATCTTCAGTGGCCACACAACTTAAAGATAGTAATTCATTGAATCATTGGTTTTAAGTGTCAATGGGTCGACCACATTTGCTAGTTCAACATGTCTAAACACTCATGGTTGGCCCATAAAGCCCATTTATTTGGTATGCAAATCTTTACATTGGGCCCATTTATTTCTTTAATAAGTAATTTAACATTGGCCAAAATACAAATGGTTGGACCCCTCTCTCTCTC